AGTTTAGTGCGCAATTGGCTGCCGTGTTTGGCCTCAAAATATACAGTCAATTCACTTTCCAGTATATTCTGTAAAGCGCTTTGAGATGTCTCAATGACATTATAAGGTACTATATCAAATGCACGGATTATTATTATTCTATTATGTGATTTAATAGTGCCTTCGGTAATCCTCCATCCACACCCTCCTGTCCCTCCACCCTGATTCCAACCCCAGTTAGGGTGCAAACCCTTGACTGACCAGCACCTTGGGATGTCTTCCTGACATGAAAGACGCTATATAAATGCAATTTGTTGTTGTGATGCATACATCTGTTTCCAGAAATCAAACTTCTCTAAATGCCAGGATGTCACAACCTAGTAATAAATCATGGTAACTATTCACTAGGATTTCCCTCCTTATTAGGGCTTAGCTAACAGGGTTGAGAACAAGTCTAGACCGTCACGTTTCATTTTAAGCCATGCTAAAGTGAAGTATCAACAATGCTTAGGTGTACAACATACTTGCCTGGCTTTGTTAAATATATCATCTTGGGAGTCAGTTCAACTAGGGAGACCCTGCTTACCTTCCTCCCTTTCCCCAGGATATCGCCAGCTACCCAACTGGCAAAGATAATAACAACTCTGAACCAGCCATTGTCCTCAAACCTGAAACAGTAAGAGTCAAATTATTTGACTCTAAAGCCAGCTGAGATCAGACTACCTTTTCCCAGTAAGTAACGTGAGTTATTTACTGGGAACAGGTTAGTCTGATCCCAGCTGGCTTTACAGTCTTTATTAGGTATAATATACAAAACAATCACAGTATTACAGTCCAGTGCGTTTTGCAACAAATATAAACAAACCCATGCTTAATTGTAAAGAGTTAGTCAACCAATTGGCAATCTAAAGATGTATTTATAAAAGTACTGCTTTGCTTCTGGCAAACAAGTATAAACTGTGGCCAGAACAAGGCTGTCAAAATACAAAGACATGTGGAACCGACACTCTAATAACCATCAAACTCGACCCACTAAGAAAGATCTAAGAGCAATGAGCTACTGGAAGAATTATCTCCCTCCCCTGGGATCTAAAAAGATGGGTGGATCTTTCAATAGCAATTATAAATTACATTTATAACTTTGTTCTGAAAACAATGCTCCAGGTTGTTACTATAAAAACCATAATCCAGTTAGTTACGTCTCCCAGTTGCTTTTTTCAGTTCTATCAATAAATAAAGAGACAATTGCAAAGTTGTTCTCATGGATGTCAAATGACAGCCATCACTACAGGCTGGTAATTTCCTTTTTGATATAATCATACATGAAATAGCTGTCCGATGACATGTTAGTGTCTTAGAAATCTCTTTTCCCAACTCCCTTAGTACATTATGCAACAATCCCTGAGGCATTTTAACACATTTATAAAGTTGCTGTGATTGCATTTATAATATAGGAGATTCTCCTATACAGTTCCGACTGATGGCCTTGACTCCCAACGTGTCTGAAAACTACCATTCAGTGTACACTCAGAAGGGTGTAAATTCTAAAACTACAATAATTTTTTAAAATTCAAATATATATATTTTTAAAAATAAGAATTTAGAAGTGGCATACCTTATAATGGTTGTCATTAAAAAAAATTCACAGCACAAAATGTAAAACTGTTAAAGTGCCCTGGCATTTGAGGGAGGAGGAAAGGATAGGTGATTGGTGTGAGATATGTTTAAGCTGTAGCACCGTGCGAGTTATTTGCTTTGCATTGCATCTGCTCCATCTGTTTGTGGTTGACACCAGCCTGAATTCAGTAACTGAGAAGATAGGTTTTATATACAAAGCCATTAAATTAAAAAGTAAAGAAGTAATGATGAATCTTTATAAAGTATTGGTTGGACCACAGCTTAATATATGTAATTTTTATAGAATATAGAGTTAAATACTGAAACCAGGGGGGCATGCTGTTAATTTTGTTACCTCACCTGATACTGTAACCAACATGGAGGCCACCAGTGGCCGATTATTGTCCAGCTTTCGGCTCAATCGTAACTCTCCGCTCGTCTGGTTGAGAATTATCAAACTCAGCTCATTCCCTCGTTCAAAAGTGTAGAAAAGCCGATCGGAAACATCAGGATCATAGGCTGGAATCTTGCCAATGACTCCTGAAGGAAAGGTGTTGGATTTATTGGAGATATAATTATTGAAGATTATTTGGAAGTTCTTCAGGACGGGGCTGTTGTCATTCTGGTCAATCAGGCGAATGTGCACAGTAGCTCGACTCACAAGAGGTGCAGACGTGGCCTGCATTACAATGACATACTCAGATTTTGTTTCATAGTCCAGGTCAGTGAGGGCTGTGAGCTCTCCTGAAAAGATATCCATCTGGAAGATCTCAGGGATGTTGCCTTCCACAATTTGATACATAATCTGAGCGTTGGTTCCCTCGTCAGGATCAGTTGCTGTAATACGTCCTACCACTGAACCAACAATGCTATTCTCCCTAACAAACACTTCAAATTCATCATCAGGGAACACAGGAGCATTGTCATTCACATCCAGCACAGTCACATGAATATTCACTGGAGTCCTGCGTGCAGGAATCCCCCGATCAACTGCATAGGCGGTCAAATCGTAAATTGGCACGCTCTCACGGTCAAGCCTTCGCACTGTGCGGATGATTCCTGATGTTGACTCAATGGTGAAGTCCCCATCGCCATCCTCTCCATTCTGGAAGGTATATTGGACCCTACCATTTGCATGGGCGTCTCGGTCAGTAGCCGAAATCTGCAGCACACTAGTGAAAGGTGGGGCATCCTCAGAGACAGAACCCTGATAGCGAGCATTTACAAACATTGGGGAATTGTCATTGACATCCTTAACCATGAGTTCCACGTAAGTTGTATCGGATTTCTGTGGAATTCCATTGTCTTTGGCAGTGATGGCCAATGTATAAGTCATTTGATCCTCGTAATCAAGCTCTGTCTGCAGCGTTATTGCACCCGAATCAGGATCAATTCGAAATTGGGGAATGTTGTCCTCCAAGAAATAGGTAATCCGTGCATTTTCCCCAACATCATCATCTGAAGCACTTATTACAACTACAGTGCTGCCAACTGGCCGATCTTCATTCACATTCACAGAGTAATGTGCACTCTGAAACACAGGCCGGTGTGTGTTTGCATCTGTAATATTGATATGCACCTGACATGTGTCATGTAGTGTACGGTCAGAGGCAGCAATCGTCAGGACATAGCGTCTCTCCTGCTTGTAATCCAGTGGCAATGACAATGTGATGAAACCTACCCCACCTTGAGTGCTGATAGCAAAGCGATTCCTTGTATTCCCACCTGTAATCTGATACATAACCACACCATTCACATCTCGATCCACTGCAGTCACAGTCACCACACTTGTACCTACTGCGCATCCTCATTCAAACGGATAAAATACTCCTGCTGTGTAAATTCTGGCCGATTATCATTGACATCCATTACAGTGATAGTAACACTTGCTGAAGCAGATAAGGTGGAGAGCCGTGATCTCTGGCTTCTACCCCAAAGAAATAGTACTCAACCGATTCACGATCTAACTGTGCACTCACTGTGACCCAGCCAGTTCCACTATTGATCACAAAAGGTGTATCTGGGGCAGTGTCCGTCAGTCTATACTCCAGCCGAGCATTTTCACCATAATCTGCATCTACTGCTTGGATGTGGATCACAGAATGTCCTAGTGGTGCATTTTCAAGCACTGACACTTGAAATGGTGTGCTCACAAAGATGGGTGAATGATCGTTAACATCCACCAGTTGAATGCTGACCATTCCAGTGTTATTGGACAGGGTGGGCGACCTGCATCCTGAGCACGGACACGCAGGGCATATTCACGCTCCATCTCGAAATCTAAGGGTGCCACCACCTCAATCTCACCAGTGACACTGTCTATGGAGAACTGTCCTCTGCTATTACCACTAATTATGTTATAATGGACGAGGGCATTATTGTCTTTGTCCATATCTGTGGCCATCACCTGCAGGATCTGAGTGTGTGCCTGACGTCCTCCTCACCTGGATGATGTACCTCTTCTCACTAAATTGTGGCACATTGTCATTCTCATCCAAGACAGTGATGTAAACTTTTACAGTGGCACTTTTAGGACTTGGGTCCCTACCTTGGTCATTGGCCTCTACGATCAGGGAATATTTCTCAACCTGCTCTCTATCAACAGGCCCACGGGTAGTAATCAACCCGGACCTGGCATCGATCTCGAACACCGATTGCGCAGCTTGCTGATTCACAAATCGATACCTGATGTTCGCATTGGACGGGGCATCAGTATCTGTGGCTCGGAGTTGCAAAATTGGGTAGCCTTCCTCCACATTTTCCCGGATTGTCTCCCTGTATTCAGTTTGCTCAAACACTGGATCGTGGTCATTCATGTCAGTCACTGTAATGGATATCATGGTGGTAGCAGAGAGATGAGGGAGACCATGGTCTACAGCAGTAACTCGAAAATAGTGTAGGTCCATGCTCTCTCTGTCCAGACTCTTGGTGGTTGAAATCAATCCTCTCTTAGCATCAATGGCGAAATAACCCATAGATCTACTGTCCATTAAGGAAGTCATAGAATAATATAGCCTTCCAGCCTCTCCAGAATCTGGGTCTGTTGCAATAATGGAAATTACAGGAGTCCCTGGAGACTGATTCTCCGCCACCTGAACCTGGTAATTATACTGCGGAAAATGAGGGTGGCGGTTGACCGATCTACTAGTCCTTGTTAATAGCAAAGGAAACACGTCTCTCTTTCCCCGCCCGCCAGCTCTCGGGTGTAATGTATCAAATTGCATAGCTTTACTGGGGTTTAATTGGCACACAACACATAGATCAATTTTTGTATGGCTTCTTCGCCTTAGTACAGAGAGCAGTGTTTTCAAACAACCTTTGGTAGGTTTAAAAAATTGGAAACTGGAGAAGATCACACCCCTGGAAGGATGAGAATGGTTTGCCGTGGCTTCCCCGGAGCTCTTTGTTCTACTATTCGGGTCGCAGTGATTCTGGAAGGAGGCGAGTTTTCGCTTAGCTCCGGGAGCTGTCCACCATGAGTGTGGTGCTGAAATCTCATTATTTACATTTATAAAAGAGTGCCATCGGAGTTTCAAATCTGTGTTTAACCACACGCTTAGAAACACGGGATCCAAACATTGTTTACGTAGAATGTGCTCTATTAGAATTAAAAAGCTACGCAAACACTGGTTTATAGAACTGAATTTTGCTTCATTTAAAAACAATGTCCCCCAGTCTACCTTTTAATTGAACGATGTTTCGTATGACGGCTCAAACACTGATTAAAACATCGGTTGGTACGTCGATTTAGGTGAAGATGCAAATGATGGGCAAAAGTATGGTTGAGGTTCTGGTTCTTGCGATATTTACAGAAGCAGTCCAGCCGTGCGTGTGGGCTGAGGACTTGGCTCTGGTAGGGACGATGTGCAATGGTGCTCACACACTTATGTAGGCATTGTTTGAAGAACACTCTCACCTCCCTGATCTTCTCATCGTCCGGACTCTGGAATATTCCACTGACACACAGAATTTTCAAGACAACCCCACCATCGTCCCCAGGCAGGTCCCGCTTCCATCTCCACTTCCCTCCGGGTCTCACTTTTGATGTGCCTGAAATGTGACGGCGCCGATTTGCACGCCGATGCCTCGCCTCCGAGCTATTGTCCGAGCCCTGACAGGGCGAAGAGAGCGGCTGGTGTGCCACCAGGAAAGCTGCTGCCGCACACTCCCACCGCACCGGGCAGCCGAGTTCCTCTCTCTTGGCGTCCAGGTTGCCGCCGTCAAGCCTCTCGCAAGACAATGGGACGCGGTCAGGATGGGTTCTGGTCCTGGAAGCCGCGCGGCGGCAACCCCATTTTCTCCTGGTGCCGCTGTCTGCCCAGGCTCCACAGCAGCCAGCGGGAAACCGGAGGAGCAGCTTCCATTGTGAGCCGGATGGAGATGCTATCTGTCTCTTCTCAGCAACGACGCTAACACCATTGGTCTCCAAGTGCCGGGACCCACGGCTGCCCACAACGAGCCAAGCGCCGGCGTCGCTGTCCCACCGCCCGAGCTGAACTTTCCCATTGCCAGGCCACGGCGACGGGCTGCCCCCCAGCGCCTCACAGTCCCCAGTCCGGCCCCGTTGCCAGCTACCGGCGGCTCGACGTTGAGGCCAGGGCGGCGGGAGCGTGGTGCCAGTCGCCGGGCGGCCTGCCTGCCTTTCCCCGGGCTCCTTTTCTGCTTCGAACGCGAACAAAGGGCTGAGGAGCAGGAGCAGGTGGAGGAGGGCGCGCGGTTGCCTCACGGTGCCCGGCGCCATGGTACCCGCCGTCCGGCGCCCCTCGCACAGCCACACAGCCGCCGCTCAGCGGCCTTCAGCCCGCTCAGCATCCACTCCGCTTCCCCCCCACCACACACACACACACACACACAGCTCAGACTGTCCCGCTCTGCGCCTCTCTCGCCGGCTTCCTCCCCCACTCCGACTCGCACCGCCTCATCCTCTCGCTCTCCGTTTCCAACATGGCCGCCCGCCGCCGCCGTGGAACATTCCAGCACCGCCTCCGCGCCGCTCGTGGCACACGCCGTCTCCCAGGGCAACGCGAGCACCTGCAGCACGCGCGGCCATCTTTGATACTGGCAGCTTCAGCCGAACAGTGGCGAACGACACCCTATTTTGTAACAAAACTTGTATTTATCTAACGACGCTCATGCAGTGTAGCGTCCCAGAGCGCTTGACAGTGGCGGAACTTGACGCCTACCCGAGGGATTTTCAGGCACGACCTGAAGATGGGGAAAGAAGGGGCAAGGCGGCCCCATTTGTAAAACATGTAAAATAAATTGAACTCCCCACATTTCCCGATGCTGGCAGTTACTGGAGAAACTTGTTGGATTCAAGGCTGTGTTTCTCTGATGAGTGTATCAGTTTTAGAATGTTATTGTTCTTGCTCAGTTTGTTGCTGAACTCAACACAGGGCAAATTTGGCCACAGGGACACGATACCTCAACCGGTCCTAGAAATTGGGGACATGATCCTTCCATTTGATATAGCGCTTTTATCACGACATTGAGATGTCTCAAAGCACCTCACAGAATATAATGTAAAGTATGCTCATATGGTTCATATGAAGGACAGCACCTTTGACACTGTCTATGTTCCCCAGCACTGTATTAAAGATTACTATGAGCTCAAAAATCCAATGTGGAGCTTGAACCAACAACCCTCAGAATCAGAGGTGAGAGTGCTACCAACTGAGAGATCAAATAAAGCAGAGACAAAAGAGCAAAGAGAGTATGGACTGGATTGTAGGGATGAGCAAGACTGATAATGAATTAAAGATCAGGAGATCCTGAACTTAATACCCTGAGTTACTGGGGCCCAAGGCCGAAGATAGGGTTAATGGGACTACAGACCTTGTGAGGGAGATAGTTCATACTGCAGAATTCTAATGGAGTATGTTACTTCGAGGGTCTGACAGTGAAAGCATGTCTACTGAAAGCTTTTACACAATCTTAAGAGAATCCAGCGCAGTCACTGATATCTTTCTTATGCTTTTCAGCCAATTGCACTCTGATTCATTACCCTCCTCATAGGCCCAATGTGTTCTAAACAATGTCTCTATCAGAAACAAATGCATATCTCGTGAATTTTACGCTCTCTGCATAAAATACTAAATAATTCAGGGAATAATTTTTTTTACAAAAAAACCCTGAACTTGATGAAATAACTATTAAACAAGTGAATGCATGTTTCTGTATCACAGGGTATCACACTGCTTCCTTTAACCCTTGGAGTTCTTGTGTTTTGATATGCTTCTTCTTTGGTTAGAACTGCCATATCATATCACATTCTTTATTCTCATAATTTATGGACTTTCTGCACAAAATACTAAATAATTAAAGAGGGCAAGGCACCTGGCCCAGATGGACTGCACCCAAGTATCCTTAGGAAAATGAGGGAGGAGATAGTTGAAGCTCTAGCATATATATTTAAGAACTCTGTAGTGAAAGCAATTGTCAGAATGGCCAACATAATACCTATTTTTAAAAGGGCGATAGAGCTAATCGGCTGCTGTGGGCAAGGTATTAGGAACTATAATAAAAGATGAAGTAATTAGTCATCTGGAGAAGCAGAGTATAATTAAGTGCAGCCAGCATGGAATTATGAGAGGGAGATCATGCTTGTGAATCTCCTTTGCACCCTCTCCACCCTCTAACCAAGGTTCTATAACCGTTTACCATAACGTAGAAAATAGTTCTGGTCCCCACATTACAGAAGGGATGTAGAGGCACTAGAGAGGGTGCAAAGGAGATTCACAAGGATGATCCCAGAACTGAGAGGTTATACCTATCAGGAAAGGTGGAACATACTTGGACTCTTTTCGCTTGAAAAGAGGAGGGTAGGGGGTGACCTGATAGAGGTCTTTAAAATGATGAAGGTTTCAATAGGGTAGACATAGGAAAGATGTTTCCACTTGTGGGGAGACCAAAACCAGGGGCCATCAATATAAAATAGTCACAAATAGACCAAATAAGGAAGTTAGAAGAAATTTCTTCACACAGAGAGTAGTAAGAATGTGGAATATGTTACCACAAGGAGTTGTTGAGGTAAATAGCATTGATGAAGTTAAGGGAAATGAGGGAGAAAGGAATAGAAGGTTATGCTTGAAGGCTTAGTTGAGGAAGGGCAGGAGGAGGCTCATGTGGAGCATAAACACCGGCATAGACCATTTGGGCCGAATGGCCTGTTTCTGTGCTGTATATTCTAATGTATTCTAATGTATTCTAGATGCAATTAAGAGGACCTTCACATGAGGGAGAGGGGAATAGAAGGGTGTGGGAGGGAGTAAGGAATGGGTGAAGATTTGTGTGGAGTAGAAACACTGGTACAGACTGGTTGGGCTGACTAGCCTGTACATACTTTGTAAATCTTTATAAACCTCTCTTTGTAAATCCTTGTAAATTTTCCTGTAAGATTTGATCAGTGCTCTATACAGCTGCAGTAGCATTTCCTTCCTTCTACATTCTAGATCTTATGTGACAAATATCAGCAATATCACATCTGAACCAGCTTTTAGTGCCTTATATAAAATCCTTTGTTCATCTCTTTCCCCTCGTGCCCCACCTATTTAGAATGGATTCCCATCTGCTATCGTACTTTCAAAATGAACTACGTCACATTTTGTAATTTAGAACTCCATCTGGCAATAGTTTCACTCACTGACTTAATCTGTCTGTATCCTTTGCAATTTACTTCTCTCTTCACAATTCACCACAGTTCACATTCTCAAGTTTATACAATCTGAATATATTCACCTCTGTATCCCCATCCGGGGGTTGGGGGAGGGCTCATTAAGGATAAATGAAAAGATGGGACTCCTGCATTTCCTCCACTTTGTGAGAAGTATACCTAGTGATCGCTGGGTACATCTCTGTCCTTCAATCAAAGAATGTCCCATTTATCGTAATGCCCAATCAATTTCCTGTTCTTTCATTTGTATCCTTACAACATACCTTCTGAAAGTCCATGTCAATGGCATCCATTGAATCATAGAGCCATAGAAATTTACAGCAAGAAGGCCATTCAGCCATCATGTCCTTGCTGGCTCCTTTAAGAGCAATCCTATCAATTCCATTTACCTGCCCTTCCCCTTTTGAAGACTAATATGGACGCTCTGGCATGGCATTCCATATCCTCTTTGCAACCACTCTGTGTATGAAAAACATCTCCTAACCTCCCCATTTGCTTGTTTACTAACTATCTTAAATTGATGCCCTGAAGTCACCGACTCACCGACCAGTGGAAATAATTTCTCCATATTGACTCTATCAAAATCCTTCATAATTTTAAAGACGTTGAATAGGTCACCCCTCAACTTGCATTGTTCAACAAAAGAGTTCCAGTTCTTTCAGTCTTTGCTCACAGAACAAACCATTCATCCCAGTAACACGGTATTAAGGGGACAGT